CGCCTCGTCTTCATCCTCATCCGGCGCCTCTTCGCCCGCGCCACCCGCCGGGGACAGCGGCTCCGGAGCTGTGGACAGCGACAGGTTGCAGCAGGGCCGCGCGCCCCCAGTCGGTCCGACCACCCCCGCCCGCGTCTCGCCGGCCCCCGGCCGGGCCCGCTGTACCTGCCATGGCCGCTCCGCCCGGCGCCCTGCAAGCTCTTTCTTCCCGGCACGTGACGCGGCTCCGCCCCGTGGGGAGAAGGCGCCCCAGCCATTGGCCGCCGCCGGTGGGCGGGTGGGGGGCTCGACCCGCTGGCGAGCTGGGAAACTGAGGCCCAGGACTTCTGCTTTCTGGAGACTAGCGGCTCCACCCGAGGCCACAGCCTATAGTATTGAAAGCCTCGGGCGGGGAGGCACGGAGGACTCAGTCCGCTAGGGCGATCTGGAAAACAAGTCCATGGCCACGATTCTTTAGGGACCAACAGGCCTCGGCCGTTGGGACCAGGGGAGAAACTGAGGCCGGGAAGAAAAAGCCACTGCATCCTGGGGGCCAGAATGAGAAGCAGCCCCGCGCCGCAAACCTACAGTGCCCAAGCTAGGAGGCAGTCTCTAAAGAGTTAATTTCCATCCTCCCGGGCCCTCGGCTGATTCCACAATTGGACCAGAGTGGAATCTACCAGCCAATTATAGAGGGTTCATTTCATCTTCAACCAATAAGCAGTAGCGGTAGAATCTTCTCTAACCAATCACTGTTAAACTGCTGAGTCTGCCGAACTCCGACTGAGCCAATAGAAAGCCGTCCTCCCGACCAATCAGCAGAAGCCCTCAGTAGAGTTCGGTCCTCAACCAGCCAATCAGCTACCGGGTCAAAACCTGCCCCTCGGGTCTGGTGCAGCCACACCCTCTGCGCGCGCGGACGCGTAGGCGGAGCCAGTCTGGGTGTTAGCGGGATGACGCAAATCTCTCCTTTGTCCCTCGCCCCTGTCCCGGGACCTTTGCTCCCTGACGCAGCACCCCCCTCCCATCGCTGGGATTCCCCAGCCATCCAGCAGGGCTAAAAGCCAGGAGTGGGGGCTTCCCCAAGCTCGAGGAGCCATTGGCTGGACTCAGACGCGGATGGGTTTACCAGGACCCCAGTCTGGAAGAGGAGACAGGACACTGGGGACGGGGTTGTCCAGCCAGAGTAGTGGGAATTAGACTGGACCTGGCTCCAAATCCTGCTCCTTCACTTCCCACCCCTGTGACTTTGGCCAAGTAGTTCCACCTCTCAGTTTCCCTGTTGGGGATAATTATTCCACTTCAAGGAACAGGACTTGACGTGTAGTAAAACCTGGAAAAAATGTGAATTAATTTTTGTCCAGCCCAAGCCTCCTTCTGGAGTCCTCCAACACCCCACCGGGGGGGCTAGCCACCAACTGGGCATTGCCTAGCCCCCACGCTCTGTTTATTCCTCCAGGTCTTTGCCCACTTTCAGTTCCGCTCTCTTCCCAAACCCACAGCCGGACCTTCGGCCTCTCCCAGCTGGTCCCTGGCTACCTCCTTGAGCCTCAGGCCTCCATACTCACCCTATCTATCTCCCACCCTGGCCTCAGAAGGATCTTTCTAAAATGCAACTATAACCACCTCCCCCACTCTAAATCCTCCTATGGCTCCCCATTGCCTTTGATAATTCAAACTAATTGCTGTGACCTTGTTAATTATTTATGGCACCCTTTTATGGCAGGTATTATCAACTTTAGCAGGACAGTTCAGATAAACAGATTTCCCAGAGTCCCACAGCTCTCCAGTGGATTCCAAAGGCTACTCTTTGCTAGTTGTCCAAGCAGCCTCGTCCTATAACTATGAAGGACACTGAATGTGTAATTTAAAAATTCCGGAAAAAGAAATCTCCAGGTCCAGATGAAGACTTCTACCAAAGGCTCAAAGAAGAATTAACGTTTACATAACTTCTTCCAGAAAACCGAAGAGGAGGGAATACTTCCCAATTCATTTGATGAAGCTAGCATTAATTAAATACCAAAACCAGATAAGGAGAGGCCAAAGAGAGAAAACTATAGACCACATCTCTCATGAACAGAGACACAAAAATCCTTCACAAAATATTAGAAAATAGAATTCGGTAATATACAAGGATTATACACCATGACCGAGTGGAGTTTATTCTGGGATGCAAGGCCGGTTCCCTATTCAAAAATCAATATTATCCACCATATTTAACAGGCTGTGGTGGGTAGAATAATGGTTTCCTGAGAGTGTCCTTGCCCTAATCCCCAGAAACTGTGATTACGTCAGGTTAGCTGGTGAAGGGAATTTAAGGTTACAGATGGAATTAAAGTTGCCAATCAGCTGACTTTAAAATAGGGGAGGATCCTGGATTCTCCAGGTGGTCCCAGTGTAATCACGAGGGCCCTTAAAAGTGGAAGAGAGTCGGGGAGAAGAGACAGTGGAAGTTTGGACTGATCTGATCTGAGGATTCTACCTGCATAGCTGGCTTTGTAGATGGAGAAAGTGGACATGAGCCAGGGAATGTGGGAAGCCTCGAGAAGCTGGAAAAGGAAAGGAAACATCCATCCCTTTGAGCCGCCAGCAAGGAACACAGCCCTTGCGACACCTTGATTTTAGCTTTGGGAGATCCATGTAGGACGTATAACCTACAGAGCTGTAAGGTAATACATTTGTGTTGTTTTAAGCCCCTGAATGTGTGAGAACTTGTTATGGCAGCCACAGAAAACAAATACATCGGCTACAGAAGAAACGTCACGGAATCGTATCAACACAGGCAGAATTTAACACCCAGTCATAATAAAAACTCTCAGCAAACTACGACAGGGAAGCCACCTCACCTTGGTGAAGAACCTTCAGTTAACATCGTAATTAACGGTTCACTTTATGGAATTCACGAGATGCTTTCCCCTTAAGATTAGAACAAGACAAAGGCATCCACTCTCACCACTCTTATTCGACATAGTACTGGAAGTTCTAGCCAGCTCAATAAGACAAGAAAAGGAAGAGGCAGACAGACTGAAAAGGAAGAAATAAAACTAGCTCAATTTGCAGACGACATGTTGGTCTACGCAAAAAAAATCCCAAGAAACCTACAACAAACACCCTTAGAATTAATAAATGAGCTGGTTCGGCAAGGCTGTAGGATATGAGATCCAAATACAAAAATCAATTGCATGTCTGGACATTAGCAATGAATATGTGAAAATCGGAATTAAAAATACAAGGACGTTAATAATTGCTCCAAAAAAAAATGCTTCAGTGTAAATCTGACTAACAGACACAGGACTCGTGTACTGAAAACGACACAACACTGATGAAAGACATAAAGATTCAAGCAAATGAAGAGACAGACCACGTCCATGGACTGGAAGACTTGACAGTAGTAAAAATGTCGCGTCCCCGCAAACTGATGTATAGGTTTAATGCAATTCCTATCGGAATCCCCGTAAGATTTTGGGGTAGATTTAGGCAAAATTATTCTAATATCCAGGCAGCTTAATGGGCATTTCAGGTCCCCGTGTCATCTTCCTGTTGTGTCCCCTCGTGTTTCCTCTGTAGCCACTCTGGCCCCATACTCCTTCCACTCACTTCCAGGCCTTTGCTGAAACAGGTCCCTCCTCCTGGTGCACCAACTCCCCAGTCTCTGCCCCACACTGAAAGCCTCCCAGGGCTCCCTGCTCCACTCCAGGGCCCCAGCACGGCCCCCTTGACCTCTGGGGGAGACCAGAGAGGCTGAGACTTCCCTAGGATCCAGGACCTGCCCGGCCCAGCCCCCGCCCAGGCCCGGCCCGTGCAGGCAGGGGAGGGAGCGGGGGAGGGAGCTCGGGAAATTCCCCTGGAGCCTGTTCCTCTGCTTCTCAGCCCAGCTGGGGTGGGGTGCCCACTGGAGGGAAGGGCCGGGCCAAAGACCGGGGCCTGCCATGGCCTCAGCCCTGAGCCCACCCCGGGTCCCTAAGCCCAAGTATGCCCTGCCCTCGCACTACCATGAGAGCTTTCTGGAGAAGAAAGGACCTCGGGACCGGGTAAGGCGGGGTGGGAGCCCGGCACCGCTGGGCAGCCGGGCGGGCGAGGCACCTCTCTGAGCCTCAGCCTCCCCACCTGGCCAAGGGCGGCAGGGTGGGTGCTGGACGGGGCAGGACACGGGTTGGGGGCTGGGAAGGGGTCTGCCCATCTGTCCGTCTGTCCGTGTCCCTCTCTGTGTCTCTGACTCTTATTTAGTCTCTTCCTCTTTGTCTCTCCCTGCTTGTCTGTCTGTCTCTCTCTTGGTCTCAGTCTTTCTGTCTGTGTCTCTCTTTCTGTCTGTAGGACACAAACAGGATCAGAGACTTCCTCCAGGGAATGAGGAATTAAATTAATCAGTTCCCCTTCCCCCAGCCTTGAACTAATGTCATGAACCTCAGCTGCGGGGGAACAAGGTTGGGACAATTGCATGGAGGGACAAAAAGAGCTGGTGGGGGCCACATTTGGCAGAACCAGATACTTGCCATGGGGGGTGGGGGAAAGAGAAAGAGAAAGAGAGAGAGAGAGAAAGTGTGTGAGTGTGTGAGTGTGTGAATGTGTGAGTGCGTGTGTGAGTGTGTGAGAGTGTGTGTGTGTGTGTCTTTTACTCAGGAGAAAGCCCAGCCCCTCAGTTCCTGCCAAGTCCCTGTCTCTCCTCCCCACTCCCCATATTCATTCATCTTCTAATAGGACCCAACCCACCCCCACTGCTTTCCCTGGCCGCCTCCCTGCCTTCATCATTGTCATTGTCATCGTGGTCCTCTCTTCCTTTCTCTGTCTCCCTGTGCCCAAATGCCACCGCCCACCTCGAAAGCATCTAGAGGCAGCATACGTGGGTGGGTGTGGGTGGGTGGGTTAACAAAGACTGTGGGCCCCAGGATGTGAGACTCAGGGTCACCCACCCACCACTCTGACTCTCCATCTTTGCGCCTCAGTTTCCTCTATCATAAAATGGGTAGAATAGGGCCGTAGTCACGGCCACATGAGGGGCAGTCCTTAGCAGACCAAAGACCTGACTCAGGGCACGCACTGGTGCTTTGCACATAGTAACTTGCCCAGTTCTCCCAATGGTGGGTACCATTAGTATCGCCATTTTATTGGTGGGGAAACTGAGGCACAGAGAGCTTAAATATCTTGTCCAATGGCATGTAGCTGGTGCATGACAAAGCAGGTCTGACCATACTGGGTTTAATCATTTACCCCTGTATTCTCAGCATCTGGAACAGTGCCGGGCACATAGTAGGTCCTCAGTAAGTGTTAGTTAAATGTATGGATGTATCTATAGATGGTCAGATGGGTGGGTGGACGGATGGGTGGATGGATGGTAGCTGTCAATATAAGCACTATGCTCATTATCATTACAGACCAATCGAAGTGCCTCCTCCTTCAGGAAGCCTTCCCAGGTTTTCCAGTTGGAAGGCTGCTCTCCTTTGTGATCTCACAGCCCAGGGTCTGTCCCTCCCCAGGGATCCGAGCTTCTCTTCCCTGGAGGATTTTAGTGTCTGTGCTTTCTCTATCCTCCATAACATGACCTATGTAAAAACAGAAATCACGTCCCATTTGTTATTGTGCCCATGACAGAGCTGGCTACAGAGTAGGGGGCCAGGGAACATTCTGGCGCAAAATCCCCAGACTCTTACAATCCGATCTGTATCAGCCCCTTAGATCTCCAAAGTTAGGGCATTTGGAGTTCAGAATCCTGGGGGAACCCCTGAATCTACAGACCTCTTAGAGTCCAGAACCTTGTGAAATTCTGAAACTACAGACTCAGCACCTATCCCAGGGCCTGGCGCCAAGGAGATGCCAGCAAATATTTATGCCGTGGATCAGGGGACAGGGGGATGTGTGTATGTGTGTGGGTGTGAGCGTGGGTGTGTGTGTGGGTGGGTGAGTATGTGTGTGTGTGTCGGTGGGTGGCTAGATGACTCAGTAGTTGGACGGATGGGTGGGTGGATGGATGGAACATCATAAATCCAGTTAGCTCGACTCACTTTCAGAATGCTCCCCTCCATAGCCAGGGGACTGCTCTGGGTCCCCTACCCTGTCATGGTCCCCTTGGCCCTTCCTCAGAGAACACCAACCCCAGAGGCTGGGCCATGGCTGGGGCCCCTTCCTAAGAGACCTAAAGCAGGTCACAAAGGAAACCATGTGACGATGGGGGATGAGTGGCCGCAGAGGCCCTGAGGCAGAAGGGGGGTGCGGCGGGGCGCCCATTTTGCCACCTCACATCCTTCTCTTTCTTCATCTTCGGTCCCCAGGATTACAAGAAGTTCTGGGCTGGCCTCCAGGGCCTCACTCTCTATTTCTACAATAGCAATCGGGACTGCCAAGTAAGAATGGGGATGAGGGATCAAGACCTGGCCCATCTACGACCCCAGAGACCAAGCAGATGGTGTGGGTGGCGTGGCCAAGCCGGGGTGCCTAGTGCTCAGACCTCCGCTTCTGTGCCCTCAGCATGTGGAGAAGCTAGACCTTGGAGCATTCGTGAGACTCACAGATGGGGCTCCCTCGGGGAGCTCCCGTGACTCTGGCATCTATTTCAACCTGGTCCTCCGGAACGAGGAGATCAAGTTCAAGGTAGGTCCCTTGGAGGGGAGCTAGTGGGAGATGCTCCCTCCCCCATCACACCCATCATTAACACACGCTAGCATGAAGTCACACAGAATTTACCGCAGGGTTGATGACACTGGGCAAGTCTACTTGACTTTTCCGGGCCTCAGTTTCCTCAACTGCAAAATGGGATACTATGTATTAAGTGCCCAGAACAAGAACAAGATTCACAAGGATCATCGCTGCCATCATTCAATCTTCCGGCAAATATTTGTGAGCACCTACTGTGTGCCAGACCCTCTTCTTGAAAGACAATTAAAAATCCCTGCCCTTGTGTAGTTTACAGTCTAGTGGTGAAGCATCCAATCAACGTGTAAAATGGAGTGTCGGATGCTGGCAAATCCTACAGAGACAAGTGCTAAGGGAGGGGGAAGGAAATGTTAAGTGGTTTGATCAGGGAAGGCCTTACTGAGGATCTGAAGGAGGTGACGGAGCCAGCAGTGTAGATATCTGTGAAACGGCTCTTCAGCAGAGAGCATAGCCCTTGCAAAGGCCCTGGGGTAGGACCAGGCCTGGCGTGTTGGAGGAACAGCTGGGAGGCCCGTGTGGCTGGAGCGGAGGGAGCGAGGGAGAGAGAGGGAGGAGGGGAGGGCAGGGTGGGGATGGGGCAGGTTGTGCAGGGACCGTGGGCCACAGAGAGGACTTGGGCATCTACCCTGAGGGGGCTGGGAACCCTGGGAGGGTTTAGAGCATAGGAGCTACATGATCTGACATGTTTTTCTAGATATTAGTATAATAATATTAAAGATTAACATCCCACATTACTAAAGACTTACATTCAGACATCATCCGAAATGAACCTGTCCTGACATTTAATCTTCAGGGAAGCACTTGGAGTCAGGGACTGTCATGCCTCATCCCATTGCACAGATGAATCGAATGAGGCATCGACAAGG